AAACTCGACCAGCAACCAATCACATGAATCTCCCGCCCCGGACACACAAGCACGTGGTTTGATTGGCAAGAGCTTGTACTGGCATATGATTTGATTGGCTGACGCTTCCGTTGAAGCTTCAAAAGTTGAACATTAACCGCCCGTCCACACGGCGGCGTGCGTTGAAGCTTCAACGCTTCTGCCCATTCACTTTGAATGGGGTGACGTCGCGCTTTGCCGAACTGCATTGTGGTTCCGTCGCTTCGCTTTGCTCGCTTCAAAAGTTGAGCAATATTCAACTTTTGAAGCTTAGACGGAAGCGTCAGCCAATAAAATTATATGCCAGTACAAGCTCTAGCCAATCAAACCGCGTGCTTGTGTGTCCGGGGCGGGAGATTCATGTGATTGGTTGTTGGTCGAGTTTCTGATACACCCACTGGGAAGCTTCAACGCACGCCGCCGTGTGGACGCTGCCTAACACCCATTGACTACAGTGGCTGCGATCGCTGTGAACGCCGCAGCGCAGCCGTAACGCCGCGCAGACGGACCCGGTGGAATCCCGTGGTTAGTATGGACAGAGCTATTTCCTCACAGCACTTACACTAATGGGTCCATAATATGAAAAGACTGGAGTATATTAATAAAGTATATTTTATAAGAACATCTCTGCCTGATGATTATGGCCTTGCAAGACCTAGGCTGAAAATGAAACATTGGCATAGAAACACGAGTAATGTGAACGTTTTCACTTTTTTCTGCATTCAATCTTTATGCTAAGTTGTGCATGTCTCCTCACAGACTGCTCTGGGATCAGGGTAACTGATGTCATATATCCTATCTGACAGGAGGTAATAACCAAAAAATCAAATCTCCCAAAATGTGAAATTGATCAGGCCATTTTACACAATGTTATGGTTAAAGCAAATGTTTACCAGTGTAATGTCCTAACTCTAAATAATGACTCCTTATTGATAGCAGGGAGTAAGCAGGTACAAGTTCAGTTTGATGTTCTGTACACTACTGTACACCTCCACATTATTAAAGAGCAAACTGTCTCTTTGGATCTGTATTCAGGTGTTGTCAGTTGACCACACATATATCCAGTATGCAGAACTTGGCTCTACAGGTGGGGCAGGGCACTCTGCTAGAGAGCCAGGTCTCAGGTCTCTGCTGGTCCTGTCGGCTGGCGAACCATCGGCCCAGACAGGACAGACACCACATGGGTCTGCAGAAACACTGCTGGCACTCTGACTCCGTATCAGCTCCTAGAACACACAGCGGTCACAGAGGAAGAGTCACAATCACAGGATATAAACTTAAAACTAACAAGAACATAAGAGCTGGATGAATCAGGGCAGGGAAGAAACAGGAGTATGTGCAAAGGGCATGGGGACATTACACAAACTCACCCTTTAAACCGGGCAATGCGCTTATATACCACTGTTTATATTGTAATATACACAATATATTCTTTGATCTTTTTTTTCTTATGTTAATATGCACAAACAAACTTCTTATAAATCAATAACTTTGAAGGATATTTTTATGTTACATTTTTACTTAACTTTTCACGTTAAATATTTGTATTTCTCTTTGATTTCATTAGGTAACTGAAACCCAATTTCCCGAGATAAACAAAGCGTTGTGATTGTCCCCTCACCTTCTGCGTGGCAGAGTCTGAGCAGCTTGGTGCCTGCTGGTGCCTGCATACAGCCGATACAGGGCTCCACCTCCTATAGACACAGTACTCTTGTGAATAATGGTGCATTGATACTGTGATCAGGATAGGACAGGATGTTAGCACATCAGTAGCATACACACATAAACAGTAGTGTACCTGTCCACTGGGGAGTGTGTACGGGCGATTGAGATCCACCTGAGCTCTAAAGGTTTCCAAGAAGAGTTCAGTGATGGTTTGGTGGATCACTACATTGGCAGCGTTTCTGATGGGAGCGTGGAGCTTCTCCCTGAGCTCTGCATACTCTGTAGAGATTAGCCTGGAAACAGTGGAAAAGTTACTTTTACTTACACAGACAAGCACATACGCACGCATACACACCCACGCACACACACCTGATATCAAAGGGTCTAACAGCCGGGTTGATGCTGCCCACGGTCAGGGTGAGGATCTGAGCCGGGGAGGCGGAGTCTGGAGTCAGCTGGTGCTGTTGAGACTCTGTCACGGTCACATGACAGTCCGTCTGTAACGCCATGTAGACATGGTAGGTGGTCACCTGGAGAAGGACAAAGAAGATCAACCATGTGGATAAAGTAAATTTTTAATAATGTTTTTTTTGTTGCAAGAATTTCAACAATACTTTGTTGTTGTTGATTTGCATAAAGGTATTGATTTGCATAACCTAAACATACCATAAGCTAAAATGTAGCATGAGCCTGAAAGTGTTTACTAGGACTGCCCCTAAATAGTCGACTAAACATTAGTCGACTAAAAAAGTCTTCATTCATCTTTATGTCGCAGGAAGAAAAAGACAAAAATCGCTCTATCGGGGCGCTGCGTTTTCTTTGTCATCCAGAAAACCAGACTCTATGAGCTGGCAAACAGACTACAAGTAGAAGAAGGACTCAAATATAATCTTAACGATGCTATAAATTATTTTCCTGTCCACTTTGAAGCAGCACAACAAGCTGTAGAACAACATCAGAGATAGCATAACGTGTTCATGGCAGACTTGTAATCAGGCAGAGAGCAACATTAGCATTTCAGTTGTGTTCTGTCCCCTGATACTGTCAGTCCAACTGAAGAGTTTGGTGAGAATTAATGGGGTCTAAACAGCATTGCTTGCCGCTGGAGCCCTGCTGTTTTTGTTCCCTTTATTCTTCTGTTGCTTCTTCTTTCCTATTATTTTTCTATGCCAGCAGTTTTCAATTTGTTTAAATATTGTAACTGTTGCCTGATATGGTTATACAAATAGGTAAAGCTGTATCAAAAGCCATTTTGGCACAGTGCACTCAGGTGATTCAAAGATCTAGGGTTCCATTCTCTCGGTGACCAATTCCTATGATTTCACCAAAATCTTTGAAACGACACCTCAGAAACACCATTCACACGCTTGGACAACACGGACCAACGCTGAAAATTGTGAGACACTGGAATGTTTGACTATTCTGTGTGGTACAGTGGTTCTGGTGAGTCTCTTTTATTTTGCATCTTGTTTCGTAGTGTGTTGGTTCTTCTGCCTCATTACCACCAGAGGGCAGGGCTGAGAAAGAACCACATTCTCCACAATAATCCTCTCCCACTCAAAGCCATTTGTAATTAGTTTGATAATGTCTTTGTATTCCTTTATCAACAAACAGCCTTGTTTTCCATTAGTTAAAGGTTTCTATGTTCCTTGTTGGAGAGGTCTCTTTTGTCTGTTGATACATTATTTGGATGTGCAGTTTATCTTGCCTTGTTATTATTTGTCCTCCCATCTGGGATGCCACTTTTATGTTGATGTTAGACTTCAAGTTGCTTGGGTGCTGGTCGGGCCTGACAATTTGAATATTTAGAGTATGGTCAAAGCCTACAAAGGTACATGTAACACAAATAATAAGTATAAATCACATGTCCCATTTAACACATTGCAATCAATCATTCTCATTCAAACCTAGTTAAAGCCACACCCCTAAACAAATCACAATAAATGCAACAAAATAATAAACTGAACGTTCTGTTATAAGTTAGTCTGCTGTGGGTGAAAGTGTGAATTGATTGAACAGATTCTGCCCAAAACATTATCCAAAAGTATAATCCACAGAACTCTAGATTTCAGGAGTTCACTCCCAACCAAAGTGAATATTCCCAAATAATGTTTTTTAGATAAATTCAATAAAAACAAACAAACAAAAACACCCACCTTAAATTAGCTTTGGCAAATGTATTTGCAGATCTTAAAGGTCCCCTATTATACTATGTTTTAACAATATATAACAGGTCTCAGATATATACAGAACATGTCTCTGAAGTGTTTGGCTGAAACACCAAACAGATCATTGCAGCATCCCATAATCCCGTCTGTTTCAGCCCTGTTTCAAAAGTGCTGATTCCCTTTCTGTTACTTTAAATGAAAATAAGGAGCCACTCCCCACACCCCTCTGAGAGATATTTGGTTAAAAAGAACACAATAGCCGCTTTCACACAGAGATTCAGGTGATAAGGTGGGGGGTGTTACCTTGGTTGGTGATTGGCTAATGGTTACACAAGCCAAAAAAACGTTATGACGTCATAAAGTGGCCAAAATCTGATCAGCTCA